GAAGCTTGTATTCTAGGGAAACACTGTAGGAAGTCTTTTAAAAGCAAACCAGATATCACCTCTACAAGTAATTTCGAACTTCTGCACATGGACCTATTTGGTCCAACTAATGTTCAAAGCCTAGGAGGAAAGTCATACGTTCTTGTGATTGTCGATGACTATTCCAGATTCACATGGGTCTATTTTCTTTCTACTAAAGATGAAGCTTTCTCAAAATTTAAGTCCTTTGTACTTCTCATGAAAAACCAATTTGACTGTATCATTAAAAGTATCAGAAGTGATAATGGTGGCGAATTTATCAATGAAAACTTTTGCAACTTTTGTGACTGCCATGGAATTCTGCATACTTTCTCTGCTCCCAGAACTCCCCAACAGAATGGGGTAGTTGAAAGGAAAAACAGATCACTAATTGAATCTGCAAGAACCATGTTGCTTGAGTTTGATTGTCCTAAGTTTCTTTGGGCAGAGGCAGTCAACACTGCTTGCCATGTAATAAACAGAACTGTCATCAGAAAAATCATTAATAAAACTCCATATGAGATCTTGAAAGGGAAATTGCCTAATGTTTCATATTTTCAACCATTTGGCTTGAAATGCTACATATTGAACACCAAGGATCAACTAGGAAAGTTTGACGCAAAATCTGACATTGGAGTTTTTCTAGGCTACTCGAGTAAGGGTCAGGCTTATAGAGTCTTTAACAAAAGAACTAGAAAGGTTGAGGAGTCAGTCCATGTTAAATTTGAAATTTCTGATACTCACCCTCCTCTATGCGCAAGTATAGACAACTATGACTTCCTTCCCTTTAGTACAATTGTTGAGACAGGTGGTACAGCAAAACAGCAAGAACCTCCAGAGACTAGCTCATGTCCACAAGCCATATCTGATGATTCAACTCATCTCGAAGAGGCTGAGGCTCCAGCTCACATCAGGAAAAGGCACCCCCCCTCACAAATTATAGGTAACCTAGATGATCCTATCACAACAAGAGGTAAATACACCCCAGGTCAGTATGCTTTTGTTTCATTAATTGAACCTAAAAATTATAAGGAGGCCATTCTTGATGAAGAATGGCTACTTGCAATGCAGGAAGAACTGTCACATTTCATCAGATTAAAAGTTTGGGAACTGGTTCCTAGACCCATAAATTGTTTGGTAATTGGAACTAAGTGGATATTCAGAAACAAATCCGATGAGTTAGGCTTTATCATTAAGAACAAAGCTAGGTTGGTAGCCCAAGGGTACAGTCAAGAGGAAGGAATTGATTTTGATGAGTCTTTTGCTCCTGTTGCTAGGTTAGAGTCCATCAGACTTCTCTGTGCCTATGCTAGTCTTATGAAATTCAAACTATATCAAATGGATGTGAAAACTGCATTTTTAAATGGTGAAATCAAAGAGGATGTGTATGTTGAACAGCCTCCTGGCTTTATTGATCATCAATTCCCAAACCATGTTTTTAAATTATCCAAAGCCCTCTATGGTCTCAAACAAGCTCCGAGAGCTTGGTATGATAAACTAACCTCATTTCTCATTTCTCAAGAATTTTGTCAAGGAGGAGTTGATAAAACTCTATTCATAAAAAGAAAAGGGAATCACTCCTTAATAGTGCAAGTTTATGTAGATGACATTGTATTTGGTAGTACTAATCCCTCTATGTGTGAAGAATTCTGCTCTTCCATGAAAAGTCAGTTTGAAATGAGCCTAATGGGAGAATTAACCTTCTTCCTTGGTCTTCAAATCAATCAAACTGAGTCTGGAATTTTTATACATCAAACCAAGTATCTACAGACCATGCTATCTAAATTTGACTTGATGAATTTAAAGCCATGCAAGACACCTATAGCAACTAATACTCATCTGGATCACGATGTAAATGGTCAATCAGTATGTGAAAAGAAATACAGAGGGATGATAGGCTCCCTTTTGTATCTAACTGCCAGCAGACCTGACATTCAGTTCAGTGTCTGCTTGTGTGCTAGATTTCAGAGCTCACCTAAAGAGAGTCATCTTAGTGCTGTTAAAAGGATATTTCGATATCTCAAAGGCTCTCATGACCTAGGCTTATGGTATCCTCAATCTGGACCATTATCACTAATTGGCTATTCTGATTCTGATTTTGCTGGAAGCATCACTGACAGAAAAAGTACAAGTGGTTATTGTCAGTTTTTTTGGAGGGTCTTTAGTATCCTGGTCTAGTAAGAAACAAGGGTCAGTAGCCCTATCAACAGCTGAAGCAGAATATATGGCTGCTGGCAGCTGCTGCACCCAAATCCTCTGGTTAAAATCTCAATTATCAGACTATGGTTTCTGTCTTAGTAAAATTCCTATCTTATGTGATAATACCAGTGCAATATGTATGTCTAAGAACCCTGTTCAACATAGTAGAACAAAACACATTGAGGTTAAACATCATTTTATTAGAGATATTATTCAGGCAGGTCACATTGAGTTAGACTTTGTTTCTACTGAATTCCAAATTGCTGACATTTTTACTAAAGCCTTACCTTCTGAAAAATTTGTCAAACTTTGTGGTGAACTTGGACTACAGTCCCTACACTCGATTCAGAACAATAAATGATCCAGGTACTATCCTTCCTCTCTCAACTTTTTAAATAAAGTTAAGTAGTTATGATTGCATCTCTTGTTGAAATGAGTGTGTGTGTGTGCATGAACTTGATGTTTAAGTTTCCTATGCATTGAAAAACTATCTGTGTTGACTAGTTCTCCTGTTTATGATTCCCATGATGCTTCTGCAACCCTTAGTATTCTATCTTTTAGTATTTATACTCTGCCTTTCTTAGTCTATGCGTCACCAAAGCTTAAAAACATAAATCTCAAAATGACTGAGCTCTTCACTTCCTCAAACATTCCTGGAGCTATCGTGACATATGTTGGGAGGACCTTCAATGAACCAATTGAGTTCAATCTCCATAGATTTAAGGAATTCTTTGCCCATAGGAAGCTGTCTGATCCTATTGCTCTCGATCTCTATGAATTCAAAGCATCTGGAATAGACATTACTCCATTCATTAGGAACTTAGGATGGGAATTCCTTCTTCACTATCCACCATTGGCTGCCTGTCCCCTGCCTGTCAAATCCTTCTATGCCAATCTTGACTGCCAAGGTATCATTACCAGAAAGCTTACTACTCTGGTCAATGGATACTTCATCTCCCTTACTGCTGAAGCCATTGGCATTTTGTTAAATCTTCCTGTTGATGGCCCCCTTCCTCTTGCTCATGAGGACGAATTCCTATTCTATGATTTTGATTTTGAGGTTGAATATGCTCGTATCACTCAACGTCGTGTTGCTTCCCATGAAGTTATAACCTCTGCTGACCTGAATCCAACCCTTCGCACCCTTCACTACTTCATAACCCACCTCTTCCTTCCCCGTGCTCATGGTCTCAACATAGTCACCAAAATTGATCTCTGGGTCCTCTCAAATGCTCTGACTGGGAGAAAGTTAGATTACTCTCAGCTTCTCTTTGGCTCAATAGTTCGAAATGCTGATGCTCATCTTGACGGGCGCCTTCCTTATGGAGGATTCATTACCCTTTTGCTGTCCAATCTTGGTCTATCTCTCGATGGATATTCCTCCATTGAAACCTCTGTTTTTGTTCCTGCCATTACCGTTCTCAACTATCTGGGGATTGATCCTCAGCCTTCGAAAGGGGGAGGATCCTTCGACCCAGCTGCTGTCAAGGTCTCAAAACCTAAAACAAAACCAAAAATTCTGCAATCTGGGGAGACATCCTCTATTCAAAAAAACCTTATCATTTCATTCGAAGAAGAGGCTGAACTTGAGCCTGAAAATTTCTCTGAAGAAGAAATCCGTCAGTTTGCTGAAGATCTTGAGAAGGAAATAATGGAGGCATCTGGAACTCAGGGGGAGAGAGCTATGGAAGAAGATACTGACAGCATGATGGAAGGAGCTGCTGGGACTCAGGGGGAGCCAAAAGAAAACACTGGCCTGGAAGATTAAAAGGAATACAAATCTGAACTGGTTGTGTCACATGTTTTAGAAAGATCACTGGGGTCAATGCTTTGGTTTGTCCTTTTTGAATGTTTTGTCTTTTCTTAAATGTTGCTGGCTTAAAAAAGGACCATAATGGTCTATGCTTATTCGATTATTGCATGTTGCTTGTTTGAAAGACCATAAAGGTCTATGTTCTTCTTAATGTATTTCTCCTTTGCTGTGAAATAAAAGGGATCACTGCAGAATGTTATATCTCCTCGACTAGTTCCTGCTTCGTGCTCTGATTGAAAGTGTTACTTGACTGAGAGTGGTTGATATTGGTGATTGACTTCCTTGCGATATAAGCATACTCTTAGAAAATGGTTGGGTGTTGATGATACAGGAATGAGAGCTTGATCGCAGGGGGAGATTGTTGGGCAACTGGGCCCTGAAAAGTCTCGAACAAACCTGCTGCTTCAGCCCACTTCGATGAGCCCAAGTCTCGTACAGCTTTTACTTCAGCCCGCACCAACGAGCCCAAGTCAAACTCAAACATCTTCGAGACTAACGAAAGCGTCTGCGCTTTCATTCCTTCCTCATCCATCGAAAAGAACCAGAGACGAGTAAAATCCCAGACGAACAAAACATCGGAATCCTTCCCCTTCAACACACAACGGTCACAGCGATTAAAGAAGAAAGAGAGAGAGGAACCAAGGCTTGGAGATCTATTTAAGAACGACTCAGGAGAAGAAATCAGCAACGGTTTCCTTTCTCAGTAAGAGCGGCGTGGCTCTTTGGGAGTAAAGGTTAGGGTTCAGTTTGTTTGTGTCTGAACTCGCTTGAGTTGGGACTTCTCAGTCAGGAACTCAAGCCTGTTTGGGCATAGCGTTTGTGTGTGTCTTCTTTCTTCTTCGCTTTACTTGTTGGCTGATCGAACCTGATCCAGACTAGAGTAATTCATTTTTAATCAAGCTTAATAAGAATTCATTTTGTGAGTTATAGTCTTTAAATTCATTTTGTGAATCTTTCTACTACAACTTGACTAAATGGGATAAATTAGTCGACATTGGTAGATAACACTCTGCACGATATGGTCACCTCCATCTTCTGTCCACCTAAGATAACCGGAACTTACAAAAGGCTTCTTCTTAACTGGATGGTTGTTTTCAATCGTGAGCTTGAACTGGAGCTTCTGTCCCTCACTACTGAATTCGAGCTTGTTGGGGACCACCTTAACGGACAACCCTTCCAACGGCGTCAAAGTTGGTCGGTAACTCGTCGTCCCTTTGCCAACATTAGTCACTGTCCTAGTAAACTCCAAGACCTCATTCGGGCTAGAACTGCTTGAGTAATTGACGCTGAAGAGTGCAATAAAGGACGGATAATTGAGGTCGAGAGTTGGTGCAGAGCAGAGGTTGGTTGTGGACGATCGTGTGATGGCTCGAATTTGCTTAGCGGTGAAATTCATTCCGCATAGCAAGTTGACATAATCGATCGCGCCGGCATCGTAGACTAGACCGGGGTCTAGCGCCTTGTTGGGGTTGACGTGACCCGCCCCGATGCCAAAAGCTGTGGACGTGCGTTCACTTTTGCCCGCATCTTTGATCGGCTGGTTGGAGAGATCGAGCGAATCCGCCGTCGTCATCATCGCCGATCGAATCGCGGCGGGGCTCCACTCCGGGTGCGCCTTCTTGATGAGCGCTGCCACTCCGGCGAGATGTGGGCACGACATTGAAGTGCCGGACAAAAGGTTGAACCCGGTGTGTAAAGAACTCGGGCCGTTCTCCTTGGGCTTGATGTTGGAGGGCCAGGCCGCGAGTATCAATGATCCGGGCCCAACTATGTCGGGCTTCAGAACGAACGGGCAACTGTGTGATGGGCCTCGGGAGCTGTAACTTGCAAGCGTAGGCGCTGGGCTCAAGTCAAAGCTGGTGAGCCCAAATTCTAAGCTCCCTTTCGCTGCCGGGTGGTTCCTCAAGTAGTTCTCCACATTCTTCCCGTCCTCCGTGGTTATGAAAATTGCCGGCAGTAAAATCTGGATCAATTCTTCGAGGAGCGATTCGGTGACATTGGCTACGAATACTCCCCCGATGGCGCCGGAATTGTTGAGGCTGAGAAGCTGATTGAACCCTTGACACACCAAGACCTTGCCTCTGATTAATTCCTCTGTCGCGTTGGCGCAGTCGCCCATGAAGACGACCGGAGATTCGTTGGTGGAGTGAGTTCCCGGGTACAGAGACGACCCGGAAACCGAGAATCCGTTTCCGATTTTGAGCCGCGCCCGGAATCGGCGGTCAATTGTTCCAGCAGCGACGGTGAGGACCCAGGGAATCCCGTTGTGGAGGGCCCCAAGGTCCGTGCCGGCATTCCCGGCTGACGTGGCGACGAATACATTCCGCTGTACGGCCGCGAATGTTGCGACGGCGATTGGGTCCTCGTGCAGCGGGATGTGATCGTAGCCAAACGATATGGACAGTACATCCACGCCGTCGGCAACTGCTTGATCGATTGCGGCGACGGCGTCACACGGGGACGAATATTCGCCGAACAGTGCCTTGTAGACGGCGACGTGGGCCTTAGGAGAGGTCCCCTTTGCCGTTCCCCGAGCGTAGCCAAAGTAGGAGGCACGGTCCACGAAGCTACCGGCTGCGGTGCTGGACGTGTGGGTCCCGTGTCCGTCGCAGTCGCGGGGAGAGTCGCTGCAGAGCATACTGATGTTGGCTACGATCAGGGAATTGTTGAAGACGCGCGCTCCAACAAGCTTGTTGTTACAGAGCGAGCCGTTGTTGAAGTGACACTGCCCTTTCCACCTCGCCGGGGCTGGACCCATCCCGTGGTCACCGTAGCTGTCGCTCTCCGGCCAGGCGCCCGTGTCAACGACCCCGATGATCATCCCTTCCCCGTAATTGGACGACTCCCAAGCGGGAGAGGAAACGGCGGTGAGTCCCAGGAAGTCGGTCGAGTGCGTGGTGTCGAATTTGACTGGTGAGTTGTGAATCGAGTGGAGGAAGCCTGGAGAAGCTTTCATTGATTCGAGCTCCGAGTCGGTGAGGGAAGCACAAAATCCGTTGATGACGTTGGAGTAGGAGTAGATTAGCTTGGAGGCAGGGTATTCTGACTGCGAAATCGACGACAAAGAGGCTAGGTGCCAGTGGCGTGGAGTTTGAAAGGCTTTTGGCATGACATTGAAGTCCATTAGAACAATATGCTGCTCCTCGGTCTGGACTAAAGTGAGAAGAAAGGTGGCGAAAATGGTGAAAGTAGCCATCAAAGGCAAAATCTTGGGATGCATTGTTGGACTGGTGTGAGGAAGTGGGAATGATTCAGTATAGAAATGAGAATGGTAAGTGGAGTGTGTCTCTGACTTTCTGAGAATTAAGGAGGACTTATATATAGAGTTTGTAATCCGACTTGGATAAGGAAATGAAAGCAGGTGCTAGAGCCAAGTGGGCAAGGGTAGTGGGACCCTATTACTTAGCTGCTGGTGCAAATGCAGAAATTAGTTAGCAGACGAGAATATTTTTTGGAATAATAGACACAAATGTATCGATTAGGTTATGCGTCTTAATCATCTGGTTATGCGTCTTAATTAACTCAATTAGAACGAGGTTAGTACAAGCACGGAACCTAAGGGCTAAGACTGGAGACTTGAAAGGGGAAAAAGTTCATATCATTGAAGGTATGTGGTCCACAGACGAATCAAATTTTAAGAGTAGTTTTCGATGATTTGGGGTCCGGATAAGATGTATACGCACATAATGTTCGAATCAAAGGGGACACAAGAGAAACGGGCAACTTACTATGAGCGGTTAGATAAGGAGGATGTTTATCCAGATTAGCTTCCAGTAATTAAGGCGAATCAAACAAGTAGCTTTCTTTTTTCTTGTTTCACAATCCGTACAGAAAAAACAACTGGCTAGCTAGTTTGGATTGTTCCTTTTTGTGTTACAAATCTGCAGATGGAACGCAATCTGTATATGGAAATAAAGGAAAACTCACTGTCTAACAACTACACGAATCAAGCTGAGAATAGCTAGTTTCCCCTAGTCGTAAAAAGGCCACCAGCTGGTAGTGATAAAATCTTCCAATTCTTATTAGTTAGTTACTTAATCACAATCTGTACAACGAATATATGAACTCAAAATGATGGGTGTTGTACAATTCATTAATTGAGCATTTGGGTCGATTTTAGGGGGCGTCAAAAATATCTACAACTGTGCATGTTCATTCTAATTTCGATATGATTGGATAAGGTGAAATTGGTATCCAAAGGATGGCCAGAGGGTAGGCGTAACAGCCGAATTTGAATATTGTGGATAATGGGTGTGCATGTTTTGTCACTGTCCAACTCGAACCCGCCTGATTATACAAATGCATATGCATTTTTTTTGCCATAGATAGAAGTGTAATAGATAGGGAATTACAAACAATTGAAAAATAAATAACAATGCATATGCATTTTCTCTAAAAATGTTCTTTATTTTGAATATATTTGATATTTATTATAGGGTTATAGGTATAATATGCCCCTTTACTTTGTAAAAATGATCAAACATGCCATTTTGTTAAAACTTTCCTCCAAAAACCGTTAACCAAGGACGAACTTTAGTTTGGGCGACACAAATGACTAAAATATCCATACCAAATTCACTTTATAATTTTTTTGGTTCTTTTGTATAATCAAATCATTCAAATAATTTCATTTGAAAAGACCCATAGAAATAAAACAGGGGACAAAACCGACATTTTTCCTCCCATTTGCAGATGTCGGGTCGTCTAAATCTCAATTCAACCATGATTGGCGATTTTTTCAATGGAAATTTGAAAAGAAGGGCATGTTTGATAATTTTTTCAAAATACAAGGGCATATTTAATGTAAAAAATAGTAGAGGGGCATATTATACCTATAACCCTTTATTATACATACATAACATGTTCGTGAAATTGTGTCATTTTTAACTAATTTTCTTCATTCTAGTGATTTATTGATATACTTTTCACTTATATAATGTCAATATAGGGTGAATATTAACGTGTTGGTTGTATTTATAAATGACAAATTATTATCCATAAATAATCGTGGATACTTAAAACCCAATCGAGTATGAATATAATTTGTTTTCTACCCGATTTTGTGTGAGTATGAGTAAACCTTAAATACAATTTAGATGGGATAATAAATACGCCTCTACTCGATCAGTTGTCAAATCTTTAATTTGGATGAGTAAGTTTGGTAGAGAGGTCGGATGTGTGGTTGTGGATCTGGTGATGGAAATATTAGCGGAACCAGGCTGGCCTTTAAAAAAAAAGGTGATGCCATTTATTCCACCAATCAAAGGTAACAATCGGTTCATTACATAAGAGGAGCAATGATATTTAAAATTAACACCCAATCCACTGGTAACGACTCCGTCCGCGCTTGTTTTGCTGACCAATCTGCGAGCTTATTTTGACATCGAGGAACAAACTCTACTTTGACTCGAGGCGCCGAGCGAAGTGCTGCAACCATACGCGCAATCAACGCTCGACAACTCCAAGGCCAAAGCGAGTGGTCCAAACAGAGCGCCATTGAAAGAACTTGACAATCGGTACAGACGCAGGAATGGTTCCTTTCGCCGGTAGCAAGAAGAATAGCGTTGAGGAGGCTGATAACTTCAGCCTGAATAGGAGAGGAACAAAGGAAAGTCTCAGTCTTGCCATCGTACACTTGATCGTGGGAATTGATACTAGCAATCCCTTAAGCCACCATCGCAGAATCTGAGACCAAGGAATCGTCACAGTAGAAGATCATGATACATGACAAGGCGGTGGTAAGGAGTTTGACGGGAAACCCTAGCTAGACTGAGGAAGAAGTCATGGCGCCTGAGTGGTCGAAGAAGTCGAATCTGACATTCGGGCTCCTTCTATATCTATGTACAACCGGGCAGCCACAACTACGGTAGACGCGGGGGAAAGTGCATTTGTGAAAGATTTAACCTAGCTCAACAAATTCTAGGGTTTGTAAGGAAAGAATAAACAGCCTGGGTTGTGGGAATCGGCAAGATGCCTTTCCTCTGTGGGGTTTTTCATATATATAGCAAAGAAGACGATTACACTGTACATTAAAGGTAAACTGACTAATCAATTGAACTAACCTATCAACAACTTCCATTTGTCTAACTACGACGGAATGTTTATTTTAATTACAGAATTACCAATGCGACGACGTTCTGCCTTATGAGGTTATATCATTTAGTACCAAACGTCGTCGCTTTCAGTGCTTCTTCGTTGTACTCTAGCTAGAGTGACAGGAAGCTTTAGCCAGTCTTCTCACGCCCAACTGCATTCTCAAGTTTGCAGTAGCTGAAGATCACCATCTCCTTTCACATGCTCCCTCAAGCTGGCGAGCATCCACTATGCATGCCAAGCTTGCAGAGTAAGTAATCAAAACGATCAGCAGACAACCCTTTTGTGAATAGGTCTGCTAATTGATCCTCGGTGCCTATGTATCCAATGTAATAAGTCCAGATTGCAATCTTTCACGGATTACATGACAATCCACTTCTATATGCTTAGTTCTTTCGTGAAAGACTAGATTTTGTACAATATAAATAACAGATTGATTATCACAAAATACCTGAACACTTTGTTGATGTGGTACTCTGTAGAATCTGAGTAGTGAATGTAACCATTGAAGTAGTGAACGTAACCATTGAATCTCACACGAGAGTTGTGCCAATGCTCTGTACTCAGTTTCTGAGGATGATCTAGATACTGTATTTTGTTTCTTGCTTTTCGAACTGGTAAGAGAATCCCCAAGGAATGTGCAATAACCAGTGACTGATTTCCTTGTGTTTGGACACGTTGGCCCAGTCAGAGTCACAATACCCTTTAAGTTATAGATTAGTCTTTGCTGAGAATCAAAGACCCTGACTGGGACAACCTTTCAAGTACCTTAAAATTCTATGTAAACAATTTAGATGAACACTGGTAGGCTTACCTTGACACTGATAGAGTTGCTGTACAGGAAAAGTGATATATGGTCTTGTTGTTGTCAAGTACTGCAACTGTCCTAGCAGATATCTGTAACGTGAACCATCTGATAATGGTGTTCCATCAGTTGCTGAAAGCACTGTTTTCATGCTTATGGGAGTTTTGGCAGGTTTGCTTTCAAGAAAATCTACATAAGAAAGTAATTCCAAACAAAACTTCATTTGATATGATTAACTGAAATGCCTTCACTAGACCTGGCCACTTCTAATCCAAGGAAGTACTTCATGTTTCCCAGATCTTTGATCTTGAAACCTTTCTTCAAATGCAATTTCACCGGCTGAATTTCATCTAGATCAGGGCCTGCTAGAAGTATGTCATCAACATACACAATTACGACTACAGAAGGTGTCCTGAACACATAATAGTCTTCATATGATTGCTCAAATCCCAGACCCTTCAAGTATTCAGATAATTTAATAAACCACTGTTTGATTGCTTGTTTTAACCCATATAGGGATTTCCACAGCTTACAAACATTTTCCTTCATACTGGCGCTGCGGCTGCAGAAATGGTTGCCCCTGTCTGGGCTGGTAAGGTTGCTGCTGCGGAAATGGACCCTGCCTGGCCTGGAAAGGCTGCCTCTGCTGAAAACCACCTGCTAGTGCTTGGAAACCAGGTGGTTTAGTGGTGGTGTTGTTATTCCGGGATAAGTTGGGATGCTGGCGCCACCCTTCATTATATGTACCACTATAAGGATCAAGGCGCCGAGCATTGGCGATGAAATCCAACTACTCCTGGGGTGTAGAAGACTCCCGCATAGCCTGGCAATCTTCCACCAGATGGTTCGAGCTCTCACACCACTAACATTGAGCACTGGAGGCCCGACCAATCCTCTGCCCGGAATAAGACTGTTGGGCTGTCTCAATGTCTGGACAAACTCAGCCACCTCCCGCTCTAGCCCGGACCTGGCCTCCATGACGTGCACTCCTCTATCCCGGGAACTCCTGCTTCTGGTGCTCTTCCCCCAAGAGTGATACCTGGCAGTCAGAGTGCTAAATCATCTGATTCAGCTCGGGTGGAGTCTTGGTAAGAATATCCCCTCCTGGGCATAGAGACTCGATCACCCTCTAGCTTTTTGGGGTCAGAGCGCTGTAGAAATTCCCCACTGTGAATGCATCACTGAAGCCGTGATGGGGAGATTTCCAGAAGAATCCCGAGTACCGCTCCCAGGCATCACGTAGGGACTCATCTGGCTCCTGACGGAAATGAGTGATCTCTCGCTGAATCTCCGTGGTCTTCGAGGCCGGATAATACCTGTGC